ACCCGCACGCGGCAGCCCCCCAGCCCGCGGCGACCCCAACCGCCGCTGCCGGGCCGGGCCGGGAAGCGCCACCGACCGCTGTGCGCCATCTTTCCTGTGAGGCGAAGCGCCAGAGAGCGGGGCCGGGCCGCGCCCGGGAACCTGTCTGCCGCACAACCCGCCCCTAGGGGCGCTGCACGCGGGCATTGCCCATCCAGGTTCCCGGGCCCCGCCGGAGCACCGCCCCGCGCCCCGCCTGAGCTAAACGGCGCCGTGGGCGGCCCGGCATAATCGCGGCGCCCATCCAGGGTCCGGGGCCCGCTCGTTGCCGCCCCGCCAGCGGCATGGCGCAAACGCTCGCCCTCGCGGTCGGCAGAAGCAGTCCCGCATGCTCGGCGCGGGGCCTTTGGGAGGGCGGGGCGGCAGCCGGCGGTGGTGGCTTCTGCCGCTGCTGCTGCTATACTGCCCCCTTGCGACGATGCCCGGTAGGCGCGGAGAGGCGGGCGGACCCAGGTCGAGAGCAGATGCGGGTGCCCTCGTTCCCACGTGTGCGCCCACGACCACGACGGGCTGGGGGCGGCTGCGCTCGTCTCCTCCGATAGCCAGCCAACTCCGTCCGGCGTCGTATCGGAGACGCAGCCGCGGGCCAGGGAGCGTTCGGCGCTTCCCGCCAGGGCCTCTCGCTGCCCCCACCGCGGCGATTTGGCCGAAGCCCCCGAGCGGGTCTGCGGCGCCCCTCCCCCGGGAGCGTTGCTGTCCCGGGAGCGGGCCCGAGAGAGAGCTACGCTCGCCCCCGGAGGCGGCCTCGGTCAAGGCGCCGTACCTCCGCCCGTTCCTCCGGCACAGGGCCAGCCCGCTCCTCCGCGAAGTTTCCGCGCCGGGGCCGCCACTGCCCGGCTACAAGGCTGGCTGCGCTCCGGTCCTCCGCAGTTGTTGCTTCCCGGCGGCCGGAGGGAGCTGGCCGCCGCCGCTGCCGTCCTTGCCGGCCCCTCTGGGTGGGCTCGGGGCCTGGCAGCCGGAGTTCAGCGCCCTCCAGGCATCGCGGTGCCTGCTGGGAGGCTGAGCAGCTGTGCTGGAACTCGGCTGCCGCCGGCCAGGGAAACGGCTCGCCGCGCTTCCCTGCCGGCCAACCTGTGCGAAGGTGGGCCGGTGCCCAGGAGGAGGCGGGATTTCTGCTGGGACGGCAGCGAGGGTAGCCCTCCGGCGGGCCTGGAGCTCCCAGCATCCCCGGCCCTCCGATGTGGGGACCTGGAGGGACGAGCCGGGCGCTCTGCGTCTCCTTCCTAGGTTGGCGGCAGATTAACCCCGGCTGTTCTTCCCTGAGCAGCTGGGCGGAGGGGCCCGTCCCGGCAGCATTTTTGGTGGTTACGCGATGGCATTAAGAGGCGGTTACAAGCGGGGCGATTCAGGAAAGAATAAATAAAAGTCTACCCTCTTCCTCCAGGAACAAGGCTGATAAATTCTTCTGACAACATAAAGATATAATTAAGACCCCTGTTAATAAGAAATTGAGTATAATAAAGGTGATACCGTTCCCTCGTGGAATTAAATCTAAAAGCTACCCTTGTTAAGTTAGCAGTCACACTTGTGAAAGCCCCACAATATTAGCAAACCTTACTGAAGTAGTTCTTTTGTGGGCATGGAAAAGTGGTTCAACATGCAATATGTTAGGATTTCACATAATGGACAGATGGACAAATCTTTCCCGCTGTATAAGAGGAAAGGAATATGGACAGTAGGTGCTTTTGGCTGAAAAGACAGATCAGCTTTCTAACTGTTGTCAGCAGCAGTTTACACAGTGGCAAAAAAAGGAAAAAGTCTGCTAACATTTCAAACCCATTAAAGCTAAATCCAATCTTCCTTTTAACACCCAAAACTGTTTCCTATAAAATCTTAGGAGAAAAAGCAGCTTTAATATTCTGCACTTCCTCTGACTCTAGGGAGGGAGATAGGTGAGGAATACTTGAACGGTTTTTGGATGTGGCATTATAACTATATGAGCTCCAGTATGAAGCTCAACTAACCTCTACAAAGTTGAAAATATCTGAACAAATGGTGAAGCTACAATTGAAAACAGAAACTAAGATCATTTTCTGCCATTAAACAGCGATGATGTTATCCATTCAGTCGTATCTGGATCTTGGCAATTCTATGGGCCAAGTCACGTCTTCCAATCTTGCACTACTTGAGTTCTATGCTCTGGCTGGTGTCAGCTTTGAGGGTACATTAAATGCTATCTTTGAGAAAAACAAACAAAAATTATTCTTGACTATTTCTCCTATACAACTGCTACTGAAGATTTAGGGTTAATTCTACCTATTTATCATTTCCTGGTACAACAGGAACCTACTAAGTCTAATCTATCTGTCTCTCTCCTCATTCATTTCTGGCAGCTGTATAATTTCTTCAAGGCATTTATGGAAGGACATAAATACATGGGGAGGGGAAGAATAAGAAAAAAAGGTTTGAAATTATTTGAAAGGACAAATAATTTAATTTGTTTTGAATATTTTTAAATATTATGGTATTGCTGTTTTATTAATGTGCCTGTTCACCGCCCTGAGTCCCGCAAGGGAGAAGGGCGGTATATAAATCAAATAAATTTGAAATAAATTTGAATTTGAAGGTTGGCTGTCAGTTCTGAGGCCATCAGTCTGGGTGACCTTCTCTCAGAAATGTTGCAATCATGGATTCCTCTACCAAGAGGGGTGGAACTAGACGTTGTCCAACCCTTACATTCTATGATTCTGTAACCATCTGGCTCTGCCACAATGTAAACATGACTTGCAGACAGTTTAATCTCAGTGTCATAATTTAATGTTATCAAGACACTACTAGGAATCAAAAGAAGAAACTTCTTCAGACATTATATCCAATCAGGCCACGTTTGCCTACGATTTCACCAATGTAAAACCACATCAGTACTTCAGTAGCCACCAAACCATTCCTCAGAGCTTCCTGAAAGGAAATAAAAAAAATTTTTTTTTTTTAAAAAGATTGTTGCTGTGGTAGCAATTGCCTCACCCATTTCCCAGATAGTTCCAGTGAAATAGAAACAACACCAAGAGGTCTTCTAATACCTTATCACTCAGTCATTATAAGTTACATTTAAATTGTTACGGGATATTTAGATGTTATTCAAATTAATATAGCCACTCTTCCAGAAGACTCATTGATCCCATTATCTCCTCCATGGGATGGAAAACTACCTCATGCTTCAACTTCTGACATCCCTCCCACCCACCAATGCCAAAAAAGTTTCCATTTTCTCTAGCTCTATGAAGAGATTTGCTGGAATTAATTTTAGACACTGCAGGAACAGAGCTAGGGTAGCCTCTCAGGAAATCAGGAGGAGTCTGGAAGCAGCTATTCCCAACAAAGCTTCTATAAGCTACAACTGCTGGCACATGCTTACCTTGACTGTGAGTTGTGCAAAGCGCCCAGTCTGGTAGCTCTTCAGCAATGTTTTCAGGCTCTCAATGGCCTTAGGAATTTCAGCGGGAGTTGGAGGGACCAGCTCAACTTTGGCGTAGTATAAGAAAGTGTCCAGCCGAGGCCTTGAGTAGGTTGCAGCAGCTAGAAGAGAACAAGAGCAAGAGAGATGAAGAGCAAATGGCAAATGGTAAAGCAAACAAAGTATTTCTAGCTCTATGGTGATATTTTGCTTGGCCTTTGTGGTACAATATTTGCAGTATGAGTTTGTCTTTATAGCCAAGTCAGGTGATGAATACAGTATTTGGTTCATAGGGCAGATTCTTCTGGGAGCTTGTAATGTTAAATAGAAAAGCATCCATCAGCTGAAATAGATCACAAAATAATAACAGCATTGCTTGGTTCTATTCTGCTTCATTCTTCTCTAATAGGACTTGTTTTTTCCGGGTAACTATGGAAAACCAACCAGAGGCTGCCAGAAATGCAATCAGAAAAGAAACGTGTTTAAATCTTAAGGGCCATCCTAGGGCACTGAAGGAACTTACTATGGTCTGGCTTAAGTTTTAAGTCTTTTTTAAGAAATTCTGGAGAATGGTAAAAATCTACAGAACTGTAGGACAAATGTTGTTCTGTCATTAAACAGAGATGGAGGGGGGAAGATGGATGATCCAGGAAACTTCAAATCAGTCAGTCTGATGTCAGTGCTTGGAAATATTTTAGAGCAGGGGTGTCAAACTGCTGGCCCATGGGCCGGATGCATCATAGCGAAACTGCACCCACCCCATTGCCGGCAGTGGCAAAAAAGTTGTGATACGTCGCGACACGTCACGTGACGTTGCGAGTTTGAAACCCGTTTTAGAGCATAAAGTGATGAATCTCCAAACAACTGTAAATACAATACAATTGTTAATCAGACTTAATAATGCCAGACTGAATTTATTTCATTTTTAAAAATAACAATGTACATTGTTCAAATGCTCCAGATGTAATTTGATTCCAGCACAGCAATTAACAAGGTACCCTATGGCATTTTAATTAGCCAGCTAATTAACCTTGTCATAACATTTGGTAGTAAAATGCTAGCTTGAAATTCTATTCAAAAAGAGCTCTTAAGTCGTTTCTTGTTAAAATGGAATAAGATATCAAGTAAGGTATAAAAGCCCCCATATTCTTCATTAAGAATGCAGATGGCAAAAAGTTGATCAGACATCAAAAGACAGAAATAAAATTCAAAATGATCTTGATAATTTTATTATGAGCCCATTTCTATAAACTATGAAATGGGAAATTCTATGCTTAAATAAAAATCAAATCCGCAAGTGCTGGATGGCTTGGCTCAACAACATACTCATAAAAAAAGATATTAAATAGTAGATTACAAACGGAATATGAATGGTGTGATATGCCTGCAAAAAAAAGTAAATGCAATCTTTAGGCTGCAACATCAAAGGCATGTGTTACATTACTGGAATTGAGACTTTTACTTTACAATATACTAGTCAATGACTACATGGAATATTGTGACCAATTCTGGACATCATGGTTTAAAAAGCAGAGAAATTAGACTGTACTCAGAGAAGAACAGCAAGGATGATTAGATGCCTATAAAATCCTCTGAGGACTTATGGAAGGAATTAGGATCATTTAGCTTGAGGAAGCAAGAGCAAAGTTTAAATATCTTATACTATGTCAAACAGAGGGAACAAGATCTCTATTATTCGACAGGAAGCATAATAAAGAAAAAAAAAACAGATTCTGACTAAGCATTAAAGGAAAACCTAGTTACACCAGTTAAACCTAGGCATTAATCACTCAGAATAGTGGTGGGCTTCTTGTCACTGGATCTAGAATTCTAGAAGGAATCTTGGAGAGCTTCCAGTCTAACCTCTACATACGGCATAAATCCTAAGACCATCCCTGCCAAACAAGCTGTCCCAACTTTGCTTGAAACACTTCAGTGATGGAGCCTCTTCAATTCCAGGTAGCAGATCGGGCCTCTGAGTAATATTCTTTCTTATTTCAAGTTTGCATATCTCTCTGTGAAGCTTCCAGCTATTGGTTCTTGTCCTGTTCCCAGGCACTATAGAGCATATATCACCGTCTTTCTGAGATAGCCCTTCAAGTATTAGAAGACTGATATCCTGTCTCGCATTAGCCTGGTCTTCTTTAGGCTAAACCAGATCTGGGCATTTTATGGTTCACGGGCCATATCCAGTCTGCGGGTGGTCACAATCCAGCCCAGGGCATTGGTTCTGTTGGAGAGGAAGTTGGCAGTGTCAGGGCATTGGCAGGGAGCAAGTGTGGCATTGGTAGAGGGGGTAGGGCAGCAGTGGTCCTCTACCACACTCCCAGTTTCTTTGAGAAAATTAATTGCCCTCCCTTGGGCTAAACTGACCAAGTACCTTTAAATCCTTTACAAAGGCTCTAGCTTCCAAGCTCCTTACCATGCTTGTTACTCTCCTCCATACTCTCTCTGGTTCCTCAGCATCCTTAATATAGGTAGTCCTGAAGTTAACATCCAAAGTTACACCAGTGCTGAACAAATGCTCAGCAAGGGTACCTGAGGTCATGGCCATTGTAGCACACCCCCCACACAGTCAAGTGACTGAAAGCAGCTTGCTTGCACTTTAGACTGCAGGGGCACTTCAACTTCCCTCCATCTCTGCCCTTTTGGCCCCTGCCCTCCCCGGCTGTCCTTTCCTGTTCACTTGTTTCCACATGCATGGCCCAATTCTTCACAAGGCAGCTGCTGGACATGCAAGGTCTTCTTCCCCAAATTGTACACGTTGGTTTCCTCGCAAGACCTCGAGGAAAAGTCCTTGCAAAGGGCCAAGCCGGGCATGCCTCATCAGCAGGAATAAGGAGACAGCGAATGCAGGGTGATAGTGGTATGTATATATAGATTTGCATGCATACATACATACGTAAGACTGTTTTTTTTTTGCTGGAGAGGCTCCATGCTCACTTCAGCTACGAACCGGGGGCCCGTCTGTGGTGAGCTAGGCATTCCACCTCTCAGCTACTTCTCTGGCGTCAGGCGGCCCTCCTGCCCCCCGCGGGAGTCCCCGTCTCAAAGAGGCGGGCAGGCTCAGCTTTTCCAAGGCTCCGCCGCAGCCCGGCGCTGCACAAAGCAGAACACGGCCCCGGCAAAATAGCTGCCCCTCTTTAGCCGCGTCAGCCGCCGGGCAGCCAAGCTGCGGCCTTGTCCCCGGCCGCTCGGGGGTCAGAGCCGATCGGAGGGCGGGCTGGGGACTGGAAGCGGAGCGTGGCCGGCAGCCCTCCCGCCCCGAGAGTGCCCCCCGCGACCCCTCACCGGAGAGCAGCTGCGGTCCCTTGGCGGAGACGGTCCTGAGCAGCCTCTGCGCGGCCTGCGCCATGGCGGAACCGCGAGGGAGCCGGAAGGAGCGCCGAAGGTCAGAGTGGCTTGCCGCGCGCGAGGATGCCAGGCCACGCCCCTCACTCGCCGCCGGGGCTGTCACGCGCATGCGCTCTCCGGAGGCGGTCTGGAGGCCGGCCGAAGGGAAGGCAGGCTCCGCCCGCGAGGGACGCCGCTGCCCGGCAGAAGCGCAGTCCAGGACTGCCCTCGGCAGCCGGCCGGCGGGTTGGATTTTCCGACCGGGCGGGGAGCTAGCCTGGGCTTCCTCCTCGTCTTGCCGACGCGGCTATGGAAAAACGCCCAAGGAGGGCTTCTCGCCTGCCGCCGAGGCTGGATCGGAGCTGCAGCGCCCTCCTCGTTCTCCCTTCCGAGGCTGAGCAGGCGAGGCCCGCCCGAGGGTCCTCTGGGTAAAAGTACAAGCTGGCTTCCGAGGGCGCCAGGCTGGCTTCCCCGTGGGTTGCACCGCTGACTTTTCTGGGTTTGCATAATAAACGGTTATTAATCTGCACCTCGCAGCTCACGCCGATCCCGCCCGCCTTTCTCCTTTTCGTGAGTTCTTTCTGTGAGTCCAGCCTGAAACCTTAAGGAAGCAGGACCTCGAATCGTCCTGAAAACACATGAATAGGCACTGCGGCCGAAAACAAGTGGACATCCAATACGTTTATTGATCTAAAGGAAGCTAACATACTATGCACACAATGTGTACATCTTTCATGCAGCAGGCACTGTATTAAAGCAGGTAGGAATTACAGGGCACCTGCACAATCATCCGTTCACAGTGTTTCCCCAAAATACAGTTACTGGAAGCAAGAGTGCTAAGGAAGGTTTACGAAAGCTGCTTGATATTATGGCCCACTTTCTCCCATAATTCTACCAACTATTTCTTATCGATATTGGTTGCTCCTGTTTTGGCAGAGCGATCCACAAATCACCAGGCTACAATGGCTTTACACAAGAAAAACTTCTGCCCCAGTTGAGTAAATACAGCTTTTCTTCTTAAACATAAAAGGGAAAGTTCAGCCCAGTATCTGGGGCAACAGTTAAAGAGAAACAAACATGGTGAAGGATTCTTATGAAAACAATATAGCAGGCAAATTAAACTGTCAAGGAAGGAGGTTTCCAGAAGATCTTAAATATAAGGAACCACAGAAAAGTTATGGAGAAAATGAGAAAGAACAGTCAAAACCTGGGTTCACTGAAAGAGGCAGCTGGGGCCACAGCATTCTGGCCAACTCACAGCCCCCCCACCACAACCTCCTTTTGCTTCTTTCTGTCGGCCAGCCATTGCTGGATCCTCTCCTTCAGTTCAGTATTTGGCTTGATCTGGTCCATGGTGAGAGGGCTGCGATTGAAAGGATCTGTCTGATCACTGCAGAAAGAAAGCAGGGAGAGGATGACAGTAAAATCAGACTATTAATTAGTAAACAAGATAATGCCACCAATTTCAGTAGACACATAGGCATCATTACAAATTTGAAAATATATATATTGAAAAAATTAAGTATTTCCCATGCAACAAGGAAAAAAAACTTGCAATCGTCTAGCCAAGGGTAGGGTTGCTTTTAATCTAATCACAGTTCTACAGCTCTTATCAGCTGTTCATACTGACCCAACGTACCTGTCTAACCTCTGTGCAGTGTCTGGTAGCAGTGGGAATCTGCTTACTACAGAATATTTTATTATTTTATTTTATTTTGTTTATTTATTTTGCTGCCTATCTCTTCGTGGGGTTACTCTGGGCAGCTTAAATCAGTAAAATGCAAAATTACAAAAAATATAAATATAACAATAGTAAAAATGAAAATAAAGAAGTACAGCAATATGAATAAAAGATGGTGGGGAGGAAACCGGATGCATGGTGGGGAGGGTTGCTACTAATCTAATAGCCACTTCCAGTGTGGTCCTCCCCCTTTCTTGGGTCTCCAGGCTCTTACGGAAGGACAGGAGGGTGGAAGCAGACCTCACCCAACCTTGGGGGACAGGATGTTCTAAAGGGCTGGCACTATGACAGAAAAGGCTCTTCTCCTGAACCCCACCTGCTAGAGTTCCTTGACTGACAGGATCTGTGGCAGGCCTCTTCTGCCACACGAGTGGGGTAGGCCTGTCCTAACAGGATGAGACAGACCATCAAGTAACCTGGGTCCATGCCATGGAGGGCTTTAAAGATCATAACCAACACCTTGAATTAGGATTTGAGTGACTGAGTGCAGAAAGTCCTGATCCAGAAACGCTGTAGCTGATGCACAAACCGAAGCTGTGCAAAGCCTTTCCTAGCCCACCAGCTGCTCTTTGAGCAGGAGTTGCAAGTCCAGAAGAACCCCTAAATTGCGAACTAGATCTGAACAGGGTAGTACAACCCTGCCCAGATCTTGAAGCTCCATGCACCCAAGCCACTCAGTCTTGCCAAGGTTAGGTAATGGCCTGTTGTACCCCATCCAGGCCTCTACAGTCTCCTGGCTCTGTGAGAGGGTAGCGACAACATCACCTGGGTCATCAGGTGAGCAAATGTCAAGTTGAGTATTACCAGCATACTAATGATACTTCAACCCATGGTTTTAATTTAATTTAATTTAACACTAACTTATATGCCGCCCTTCTCCCCACGGGACTCAGGGCGGCTCACAGCATATTAAAACAACACAAAAACATTTCCCCTATAAAAGCCAATTAAAACCAAATATTTATAGCTGTGACATTATTAAAATCTTTAAAAATTTTCCCTATTTAAAATTCACCCTAGGTCAGTCCCGCTTGCTGAAAAAGCCATNTCTCGGAGATATCCAGGTCCTATGCCATGGAGCGCTTTAAAGGTGGTAACTAACACCTTAAAGCGTACCCGGAAGGCCACTGGCAACCAGTGCAGCTCGCGCAGCAGCGGTGTTACATGGGAGCGACGCGTCGCTCCCAACACCGCCCGCGCGGCCGCATTCTGGACCAGCTGAAGCCTCCGGATGCTCCTCATAGGGATGGATGATCTCACCCAGCAGCTTCATGCAGACGTTAAACAGGAGTGGGCAGAGAAGTGAGCCCCATGGCACGCCAAAAAAGAAGAGCTGGGACTGGATCCCTCACTCCCTATCAACACCAATTGGGAACAGATTTGGAGAAAGGAGTCAAGCGAATGCAGAACTGTACTGTCAAGCCCCAACTCTCACAGCCGGCCCAAAAGGATATCATGGTTGATATACCATGTCTGATATACCAATCAGTAGGGGGATGAGAAAGGGGAACTAACCAGTGGATGCAGGGACAAATATGGGAGTCAACACCACTGGCATCCTGCAAGGAGGTGAGTGGCAGTGTCTGAATCTGACATGTTCCCTCTTCCCTAGAAGGAAATTAGGCAGAATTCCATTTTCTCCTGCCTGTCTTCTAAATACCTCAAGAGGTGCCTAGCGATTGTTGCCCTGTCCACTGTGACTCGAGAAGAAGGCAGCAGCACTGGGTCTGTCATTAAGGTGCTCATGATGGGATCCAGAAATTCATCACAGGCATCAGCGTATGTCTCCTCTTCCTGCTGCTGACGATCTGCTAGAGACTGAAGAAACAATTCCAGGAATCAGTTCCTGCTGAGCTGCCCTGCAGAGTTAAATTCCTATTGACAAACTGAAGACAAACGCCGGAATCTATAGGAACTACCATTGCTAAAAAAATGTGGCCAGTGATTTCTAGGCATCTCCTTTGCCCTGGAAACTGAAACAGGGCAGAGGTAGGAGCCCAAACACAGCCCTTGATTGGCTTTTTGATTCCATGGAAGCACAACTAATACAGAGTTGTTTTCTGGTGTCTCGCTGAAACTTAGAGGTTTGACTGCATTCATACCACACTACAATAAATTCAGTTCTCAGCTACAGAGAGGAATGTAAGTCCTGATCAACTCTATTTTTCACCTGTCTCATTAGACTTTTAAACATCCTGCAGCCATTATAAGAGCACTGAAATTCAAAGTTCTCCCCCTTGGAGATTAAAGCCAAATGTTGTTCAAGATGCACTGAAGATTTTCAACATATAATACAGTGAGGAACCTGTCCTTAGAGAGAGACAGACTTTTGAGAATATTGACAGCTTTCCCATCTCACCTTAATTTGTTCTGCCAGGTTGCTAAATGCTACAATCATGTTGCCAGGCTTATTAATTTTCTTCAAGACTCGGATCGTCTGAGCAAAAAGAGTTGGGGAATATGATCGCCCATCCTTAGGCACTGTGGCACAAAAGTTCGCTTCATCACTGAAAGAGAGAAGAGGGCTAAAAGTGGACGCTGAGGCCCCATGCAAGCAAGCCTCTTTTCCATTTGGCACTCTCGGTCATTTCAGCTTTCCTATACTGATTCCTTTCTTCAACTTCCATAGTCTTTTATTAGGTGAGACCAAAGCCCCGTTCAGACTTGTCCCATTTGCAATATATTGGTAAGTGGAGCATGATGGGAAATAGCTCTAGCCTATTTGCACTGTAATTTCTCCTGTTCAGAAGGCAACTCTTTTCTGCAAGATCTCTTTGTGGTAAGCATCTTTCTAGTCCCTGAGGTACAACTGTAAATCTTTCTTATAGGGGACTTCACCCAAATTTGATCTGTCTGAACAGACAGTACAGCTCCATAGCTATTCCCTTCAGGGTTCACCTTATCTTTCACCAGCACTTGGACGAAACAAATTTGACTGCCCTCCCTCTTAGTAAATATATAGAATATTTGAGTCTACATGATACCTTTGTCTAGATTAGTTTAAACTGATTCAGCTGAGCCCAGCCATTGTATTGGCATGTTATGTATATCAGTTATCAGGTTAAACTATAAGATGATTTGCTTGGGCATATCAAGTTATGTGAACACAGCTTTTGCGTTTGGTTAATCTCATTTATGCATGAGCCAGCAAGAACGACATTCATAGGAGACCATCCTAGTCAAAGTTCCATAGTTTCCTGAGTAGGGTATATGAGCACAAAACCTGGTCCACTACAAATTCTTGACATAGGACAGGAAGCCCATGCCTCCATCCTGGGGATTGCAGCCAAGATTCAGAACATTCCCTTGGACTGGTACACACAAGACCACAGCAGAAGACTCGGTCAAGGGCACAGTACAGCCCCATTTCTCTTGCATTTGCAGTTAGATCTGACGGAGATGATTACTACATGGAAAAGCAATAAAAGTTCACAAACACCACCTAGCCATTATGTCCCTTTTTTCAAGAATCCTTTCTGCGCAATGTACTATCTTCAGGTTTATAGAACGTGAGTCCCAAGCCTCCTTCACTCCTTTATTCCAGAGGAGAACATGACATGAAGGAGGGTGGTGGTGGTGTCGTCTCCTGTTCTTCCTCACTGGCAGTATTTGGGGGATTGGTATGAACTACTGGTATTCAAAAACAATGAGATATTCTCCAATGGTTGTCCACTGGCTTTGAGGAGTTAAATCCTTAAGTCTGATTGGGTCATCTGAGGAGGACCTCGTGTGGGTTTCTGGCTGCTCTTCCATAAGAAACATTTCAACATCCATTAAAACTCTGGATGCATAAGGCAAAGCCCTCTAATCCTCTTCCCAAGAAGCACTCCAACGGATCTTTCCTTTCCAGCATGCAACTTACCCCAGGTTTAGATATATCGTACAAATGTCAGAAACCAGTTGTTGGGGCTTGAAGTCAAATTCACTGAAGTCCTTGACCTTCAAGGCCCCCATTTTGGGGCCTACCAGGTGTTGGAGGAAGTAGTTGAGCATGGAGATAATGCGTTCCGCCAGGAAAGGGTGCACAAAGAGAGACTTGATCTCTGCAATGAAAAGGAGGCTCCATCAGCAGTTCTGCTCCCTTCAGCGTTCCAGGCCAGGAAGAACACAGGGCCTTTACCTGAGGTCAGGAAGGCCAAGGTCCCAATGGTCTCATTGGACATGATGTTGTGGAAGCGAGCCAACTGCCCAAACATCTGCAGGCTGGCTTCCTTCTCACGCCGCACTTCTGCAGACAGGCTGTCCCACTCGCCCCGGTCCTTCTCTATTTGCTGGATCTTGATCTTGCTCAGGTACTGCAGAGAAATTTGAAATGGGCATCAGGCAAGAAAAAGGATCTGTTCTTGGATGCCAAAATCACATTCACTGCTCATGCAGCCATCTTCAGAAGTTCCTTTCACCCTGGAGATTTACAGATTTATTCAGGGTAGATTACAACATCTTAACCACTACATTAAAACATTCCACACAACACACAGAAATGGGGGAACCGGAACTGGATCAATCGAAGTGTGGTGCAGAAAGTTCAGGGGGTGGGAAATGGAGGTCTCATGGCAACCCCTTCCTGTAGACTTGGAGCAGAGAGAATGAACCTTACAAAGGTGGAGAACTGGAGGTACAAAAGCCAAGTCCAAAGACTCCCCAGACCTGAACCTCTCAGAAAAATTATCTCGACAGTAGCAGCTCGGTGACTGAAGACTTCCTCTCCTCTCCTCAGCTGGTGAAGTCTGAGTAATTTCCCTGGAGACGGCTACATACTTTCTCCCCTTCTCAACTGGCCAAAATTGGCAACCCTTTAAAGAATCATTCTTTAAGGAACAGTCTTACAGTTTGGGGTCACAGTATTTACCCACTTTCTACGTCCACCCCTCAAATAATGATTTACCTGTATTGCTTCATCCAACAAGAAAATGGCATCATTCATAAGCAGGTTAAGAAAGCGCAAGAAGAGAGGGGGGGCCATTGCTTCAAGGTTCTCGGAGGCATCGTCAGCCAGTGCCTGCACAGGGCAAAGAGATGGAGAGCAGGGGGGCTGTTTTCATCCAAACCTCTATTCTTCTTCCAGCCCTTATAATTTGCAAACCTCAGGTCCTTACCTTTATGCTTGCCCGGTATGAGTCAGTGCCCCACATATACCGGAGGATAGGGTACATGGGTCTACGATAATTAAACTTCTGCTCAAATTGATGGGGATCTCCTGCACAGGAGAAGGCCCGTAATGAATGCAGGATCCCGAGATACTGGAGAACTGATAAAGGCCTCTGAGACTCCTTCTTTTGTATAAACTGCATGCCCCAAAAACACACAGGATGGAGAGTGGAGGATCAGCTCTTCCTTCCCTCCAGCCCCAAAAAGCAGTAGGGGAAGAGGCAGCTTGGACCAGAGTGGAATATAAATCTCAAGACTTGGAAGAAAAAGCTAGCCCTTTTCATCTCTTTCTGCCAGATCAGTACCATTACCAAAATTAGCAAATCTGGTTTCAGATCCAGCAAAGCGGATTCACCAGGATTCATGGCACTTCATTCAAGGGACTGCACTATGCAGCAGGAACTGAGGGAATGAGACCCCCTCCCACCCTCCCCCCTTACCTGTAAATTCAATGTCCACAAAAACCTTAATTAGTGCCTCAGCAAGGTAGGCAGCATGTTGGTAGGAGCAGAAGATTCTCTTGCGATGAAAGACACTTGAGACAAGAGGCGTCTGTGCCTGATCCAGGTGGGGCATCACAGCCTCCAGTACTTCAGCCAGTTTGGCTCTCAAATGTGGGTTCTTCATTCTGCCAGGAGGAGTGGGCAGAAATCTCCAAATCTACACTTTTCCCAAAATTCTATCAAAACTTCTGCCACCCCCTCCTCCTGCTGAATTCTTCTGCTGACAGCGAGGGACTCATGTATCCTCCCAATAGACAGGTTGCTCACAATAGCTCATTACTCCAGGAGAACAACTTCTTTCCATCCCACCTCAATGCTTCTACAATTCCTGTTACACCACTACATTCTTACATCTGTGGGCCAAGGTTTTCAAGGAACTGAGCAGTCAAAACTAAGCTAACCAAATTTATTTGCTTGAAGACTCAAGAAAAATTTGAATCTGCACTCAATCTAAAAACAGCTGAGTTTACTGGGGTCAAATTTTTCCTTCTAAAGACTAGGCTGCTGTTCACTGGCAAACAGGATGCTTGACTACAGAGTGGGCCTGATTCACATCTCTCCAGGCTTCAGAAGCAGCTTTTACCTGTCCACATCCCCTGTGAAGATGGTCACAAAATGAAGCACATGCTCCAGGGAGTCAGCTGAAGGTTCTAGGAGATCATCAGCAAAGCGGCGCAGGAAAATGAAGAAATCACCTAAGTTGTCAGCAAAGAATTCTGCAAATGCAAAAAAACAAGTGAACTCTTGCTAAGAATGTATGGCTACCAGGCCCATGCTTGCTCCTTCCCGGTGAGGGCAGGCATTTGAGGGCAAAGCAGCAGTTGTTTCCTGCAGCTACCAAGATGAGCTCAGACAAATCTCCTTGGAAGCAGGAGAAGGTTTATGATATTAACATCTCAGAGGAAACCAAGCCAAAAATAATTGTAAAGGGCCCAGAGTCCCTCTGTTGAGTTAGGTGTTAGAAATATTTTTCCTTTTGGGAATTTTAGCTAGGAGCATTTGTCTTGAAATATATATTTGCTTCTCCATTCTATTAACAAAAGGATGGTGTTACAAATCAGCCAGGCGTGAGCCAACACCAAAAGACTATAGGATCCTGTTAAGTGCCTTGGGCATGGCAAAATATCAGGACCATCCTGGCACTGCCCAAAACCACTTCTAGAGGATAAATCTCTTGCCAGTCACCTGGAACATAGGCCAGCGCACTGTTCTTCACTTCTGGCAGAGGGAAGGTCAAGTCCATCAGCTCAGTCCCTTGGTTTCCAATGGCCAGCTGGACCAGGAGAACAGCCATGGACACCTGCAGATTGAGGCAGTTCTTCAACATCTGAGGCTCTGTCATGGCTGCTTTAGTGGAAAGGTAGATGGTCATGAGACGCTCAAACTGCTCCCGGAGATTGTCAGCTGAGGGGCTGGAGCTCTGCTGAGCTTCCCGCCATGCCACCTGCAGTCGATGAAGGCTTTGGTTGAGTTTGATCATCTGGTCATGCAACCTGTGCAAGAAACAGACAGAGATACTAAAAATTAGAAGTGGCAATACCACCAGAAAAGCACAAAGTGGCCACAAGAAATTGGGAGGCTATAATGGAAAAGGGGAAACAGAGGAGGCCAGCAATGAGTGTTGAGGTTGGTTGGGGCAAGAGCTGGCATACAAGGATTTGCTGCATGTTCTCTGGAGAGCTGCTTTCCTTGAAGGACCCATAGCAAAAAAAGTTTGAAGAAATCATAATTCACTTTAATTTCCACCCATTCATATCCTCCAGTAGACCAAGAAAACATTCTTTCCCACATGCAAATATCAACTGATGTATAATGAATGTGGCCTTTAGTTAGTCCTTGCTTAATGACCGGTAAAAATCCCACGGACTCGAAGTTATTTAGGAATAGGAATAGAAATATTCTTTATTGGCCAAGTGTGACTGGACACGTAAAGAATTTGTCTCTGGTACGTAAGCTGTCAGTGTACATACAAACAACAAAGTGGTAAGTCATAGATCATAAATTGTACAATCATAAAACTATCTTTGTGCCTAGTTGTTTTAGCATGCAATGCCCTGTAGCAGCATTCTGAGGGGAGGAGTTGAAACTGTTTATGTCCAGGATGTGAGGGGTCTGTAGATATTTTCATAGCCCTCTTTCTGGCTTGTGCAGTATACAGGTCTTCAACAGAAGGCAGGCTGGTTGCAATTGTTTTCTCTGCAGGCCTAATTATCTGTTGGTCTGTACCTGTCCTGTTTGGTTGCTGTGCCAAACCAGGCAGTTATGAAAGTACAAATGACAGACTTAATAATTCCTCTGTAGAACTATATAGCAGCTCCTTGGGCAATCTGAGCTTTCTGAGTTGGCGCAGGAAGAACATTCCTTGTTGTGCCCTTTTAATGATGGTTGTAATGTTAGGTGACCATTTCAAGTCCTGGGAAGGTCTCTATTGTTTATACTGTGTTGACTAATATTGTAAGAGGTGGTAGACTAGGAGAACTTCTAAAATCTATAGCATCTCTACAGTTTTAAGCATGTTCAGCTCCAGATTGTTTTGGCTGTACCAGAGGGCCTGTTGTTCCACCTCCTGTCTGTATGCAGACTCATCATCGTCTTGAATGAGACCAATAGCTGTTGTATCATCTGCAAACTTTGGTACTTTAACAGAGGAATCCTTTGAGATATAGTCATTGGTATAGAGAGAAAAGAGTGAAGGAAAGAGCACACAGCCCTGGGGGGCACGTGTGCTAACTGAATATTTGATATGATTTTCCCTAGCTTCACCTGCTGCTTCCTATCTGTTAGAAAGCTTATAATCCACTTACAAGTGTGGTCAGGCACAGCTAGCTGAAAGGTCTTTGGTGTTCTCTGAGCTTATTTTCTTGCAGACGTTTCATTACCCAAACTAGGTAACATCATCAGTGCGCTGATGATGTTACCTAGTTTGGGTAATGAAATGTCTGCTAGAAAACAAGCAAGCCCAGAGAGCACCAAGGACCCCTCATTTCAACCCCAAGCTAGAAATATTCTCCTTTATTAGTACAGCTAGCTGACTCAGTTTTTAAAGAAAGGTTTCTGGAATGATGGTACTGAATGCCGAGCTGAAGTCTACAAAAAGGGCCCTTGCATAGGTCTTTAGGGATTCAAGAAGTTAAGATGTAGTGCAATATTGACAACATCATCTACCGATCTATTTGTGCGGTAGGCAAATTGCAAGAGGTTTAGCAGTGAATCCATGATGACTTACGATCCATCCTTGAAGCTAAAACTACTGCACGTCTCTCCCCCCCATCATGTAACTGCATTTTGGGTGCCTGGCAGCAAGCTCACATTTACAAACACTTGCAGTGTTCCATAATCACATAATCATGACTTGCTATGTCTTTTGCCATTTTCTGGCAGAAAATGATAAAATGTCCATTGGATATGAACCAAGTGGTTTAAACAACTTCATGATTTGTTTAATGACGTGACTTACTTTATAATGGTCGTAAAAACAATCATAAAAATGAGTCATGTCACATGATCCACAATGACAATGACTTATAACCAAAATTTCGGGCCCAAATGTGGTTGTTAGGCAAGGACTATACCTGTATTTGGGTGCTACTATGTCAGCAGAAGCCCCAGTGTCCTACTAAAAGATCACTGACATTTATTAAGATTTTGAGCTACATTCTGCTTGATGTGGAAAAGTCTTCCCAAGGCCTTCAGTGTTTCCACCAGGGAGTCTCCTGTGTACCTGTGAAATCCTAAGTGGAGGGTGTACTGCGTCAATACCAAGTTCTCGGTCACCAGGTTATAGCTGTCAGCAAACTGTGGTTCCTGCTCAGTTACAGCTGGGATCAAAGAAGTTTCTCGTTCCAAACCTTAAAGGAAATGAAGAGTACATCAATACTGATCAGAGAAAGCTCTAGCCAAAGGAAGCCATTTCTCACAGCATCTTTCCTACCCTTGTCAGCAATGCCCGTCTCTCTTGCTATTGGGAGGGTGGGGGAGGGAGAGGGTGGCTCACCTTTCATGTGAACATTCTTCACCCTCTGCTCCTCCTCATTCAGTTCCTTCACAGCACAATAAGTGGGGTCAAATGTCAGAAGCCTGGGAGATCGGGGCTTACAGAAGGGCTGACAGAGCCTGAGGAGAGCAGCTCCCAAGTTCAGGAAGAAGGCATCTGAGGCATACATCTGGAAGAAGATCTCTGGCATCTGGTTGGCCCAAATTTTGGTGCGCCCAGCATTGGCATGAAGACAGTTTCCAAGCCAGGCCAGGATCTTATGCTTCGTTTGTGGGGAGAGCTGCAGCAAGTTCTTCAGCATTTGGTGGATCTTCTCGTGGAATTCAGCCACGAACTGTAGTGAAGAGCGTTGACTGAGGTTAACTGAGGTTAACAAACATCAGCGTACCTGCACAGACTCACTGGAACCGGGGTCATCTGAGACGTGTGTGGGTAGTCCTCGACTTACAACAGTTCATTTAGTGACCATTCAAGGTTACCACGGCACTGAAAAAAGGGACTTATGGCTGTTTTTCACACTTGCGACCATCGCAATTTCCCCAGGCTCACAAAATTCCAACGCTTGGCAACCAGCTCGTTTTTATGACGGTTGCAGTGTCCCAGGGTCATGTGACTCCCTTTTGTGACCTTCTGACAAGCAAATTCAATGGGAAAACCAGATTCACTTAACAACCAGGTTACTAACTTAACAACTGAGTGATTAATTTAACAATTGTGGCACCAAAGGTCACAAAATGGGGCAAAACTCACTAACAACTGACTTGATTAGCAACAGAAATGTTGGGCTCCATCATGGATGTCAGTTGAGGACTACCTATACACTTCCACCAAGTCATTCCTCAGCTCCCTTCCCGAGTTCTGGCATTTTCACCTTTTACTACACTTTCTGGATTTTAATTATCTCCCCCCAACAGCCCCAGTGATTCCAATAGAAGGCAGTCAGCATCATATTCAAAGGTGTTGATAGCCACAGATCTGCCTGATCATACCAAGAGCAATTGCACCTAGACCTATATACCACTCTTTCTAAGTGGCTTACAGAGTCAGCATATTGCCCTCAACAATCTGGGTCCGACCTCGGAAGGATGGAAGGCTGAATCAACCTTGAGCCAGTGAGATCGAACTGCCGAACTGGTGGCAGCCGGCAGTCAGCATAATCAGCCTGCAATACTGCATTCTAACCACTGTACCACACGACTCTGATCATACTTGGATAGTATGCATAAAAAGACAGTATAAAAAAGAGTGCTTGTCATCAGCAGCCATTTTGCTGCCTCTCAATGTACAAAACAGGAATGGAACAGAAATATACACCTGGTGGATGTTGGATTCTTGCACCTTGATCTCTTGAGGACTGGATCGAGAGGGGTTCAGAAAGTAGCCATGGCTTTCCACCACACCAGGTGTCTTCAGAAGACATGAGATGTTCAAGATGGTTCCCAACAGTGTCTTCTGGTAAAGCTGTCCATTGGCTGGATCTTTTGGCTGAATGTACTCAACAAAAACCTAAACAAACAGAAATAGAGCCAAATATGCTTTTTTTCAAAAGGCAACTGGACTTTTTTGGTTTTTCCTTTGAAAACATTTCAACATTTCACCACGCCCACCCTCCTACCCAGAGTGAGGTAGAGAAAAGTGACCTTTCTCCCAGGTGAAAGGTTAAAGGCAGCAGGAGGTTCTGGCCATCTGGGGGTGAATGAGGACTCACTTTGGCAATATCCTTTTGCTTGGTGAAATACAGGAGTATATCCAGATAAGAGTACAACAGGATCTGGCAAAGGTGTAGCTCCCGTATTCGTCCTAAGAGGATGTCGAAGACAGGGACCATAACCTCCTCAAAAGTCCTCACTTCCTCATCCATCGTGAGGCTCTTGATGACCTCCTCCAGGAACTCTGTTATGTCTTCAAAGTCTATGGGGGAGAGAAAGGATGAGTATTTAAAAAAAAGATATAACTGGAAAGTTGCCATGAGCTGGATCCCATTAACTTATCCTGGGGTATCAGCCTTTGCCAACTCACGAGCTCCTCTTAATGATTCCAGCATCAAGTCCACTAACTGCTCATAGACATTCTGGTTGACATAGATCTCTGGTGTTAGGAAGAGTGTGTGAGTGTTGGATATAGTCAGATTTCTGCAACGCACTGCAAAAGGCAACAAGTTCTCTGGCACCTTGGTGATCTAGAAGAACAGAGAGAACAGCTGACTTCTAGCCCATTCAGTCCAGGCCACAAGCTGCTTGGGTGTGATATGGGTGCTTGACCCACCTCCTCCTTTGCCCTCCGGAAACAAGCAAAGAGGTATCGCAGGATGTGTTTCTCTCCTGCATCTCTGTCTGCTGGGAGGTTCTGTATGCCAGTTGAAGTCATGTGGATCAAGTGATTTCCTGGTTCCGGAAGCAGTAGCCGGGTAAAAAGAGCCTGGGGAAACATATCGATCCAGAATATAATTGCTCCCTCCCAACATTTGGAGAAAAAGCCTAGATCTCATTCACATCCATTTGTTTACAGAGTGACATTATGCATAAACAGCCAGGTCTTTCACATGCTTCTCCAAATCTACCTGATTATCACAAATAAGAAATAGACTGCCCATAGAACTCAATTGTTTCATATAAGATGAAACGGCCTTGTTCAAGGAAAAGTACTATAAAGCAAATCAAACAAGTGTCACAACAAATGTGCAATTAAAGGCCTCTAGGCACATGGTATCCTGGCTTGGGGAAGCATCTTTTCCTGGCCATAGGCAAAGGGAACAATTGGCCAGACGACCAAGATTAGCCTTCTCCAGCAAGCCTCCAATCTGGTGAAGACCCATTAGATGCTTGCATGCAGAGACCTGTTCTACATTTTCCATGTCCAGCCAGTCCTGATCCTCAAGGTCTGCAGCCATTTCCTCCAGGTAGACACACCGTGCAGGAATGCCATTTCCACTCTTCAGATTGGGGTCACCTACGGGCGGGGAGGGGGACGAATCAGCAAAGCAGCAATAGGGGAATCCCCAAGACACTCTATGTTCAGAACCATTTCTCCCTCTCCATCAACAACTTTTATGTATTTTGGCTTCTTGTCTTGGCAGATGTTAAAACAAGTCCTTCCTCAAGATATTGCTGTCACATGTCTTGAACTACAACTCCCAGACTTCCCAACGCATACGAGAGGGCACCAAATAGAGGCTGGCATAGTTTTGTAGCCTAAAGGAAAGCAGTCTCTAGGACCAGTGAAATGACACAGCAAAGCACAAATCTAAAAAAAAACAATAAAGGAACCCTTCCAAGCCATGCCCTACAGTATAACAGTCAACTGGAGCAGGAGAATTGCAGCGTGGTTGCAAGAAATACCACCAGGTCAATGTTTGGAATTTTCAGGCTGAGTAAAGTTTGTTACACCTGCAATATACTGGCCAGCCAATAAAGATATAGAAAACCACATTTGGCCTTGCATCCAATGGAAGCTCCCCTTAACTGCTTGTACAATGGAGGACAATATTTCCATCCTCCATACATATGGTTTTTGCCAGGAGAATGTTTGTTTACATGGCTTTTGGCAAACAGATTTTGTTGCCTTTGGGGTGTCTTAAGTCAGCAGATGCTGTGTGAGATCAACAACTGTTCTCCAAGAGAGGAGTCTGAATTTGTATTCATGGATCAAAAACTGGACCATGCTGGGTCTGCCACCTGGTGGCTCCCCTCCACCTTAATATAACCCAGTCTGAATTCTGGCAATGTATGCCTCCAAACTCACTGTTATCCAATGTTATCAGGAAGATTCTCTGGATCATGTGGTTGATGTTGAGCTGCTCGCACAGCTCCTGCTGGGAGCGAAAGGAGCGACTGATCTCAGCCACAGAGTAGTCGCAATCATCCAGACTCTCAGACACACTGTTGTCAGAATCATCTTGGCTGGCAGAGGTTTCCTCTACTAGAAAAGCAGAGCTAGTCAATAAGCAGTGTACCTGGTCCCCAATTGGCCCACCCACCATCTGAGCAGTCTCTCGAAGGCCTGTGCCTCTCTCGTCTAGGCTATCACAGCACCAGAAGCCTACCTAGTAAGTGCACTTTTTTTACATAACAAGTTTTAGATCATAAAAACACAGTTGTTGAAAAAAATGCAGCCTGTACACAAGACTTTAGTCTCCTGGGAATCCCAGAATGACTTCTGAAAAACAAGAGCCAGAGAGGCCACCTAAACAGCTGTCCCAACCATTATGTCTTTTATTGATTTGCCATCTGAGAATATGGAATTAAACTAGTAAAAACTTAGCTCTCGAGATTTGAATACTTGCCAGGTAATGCTAGTCTAATTCATGTCTTTAATATCAATCAATGATAAAGTCCGCTAAATGTTTGCACTTCTTTTTCAATTCTGTTGCTGACTGTCCACATTGTCCTAAAATTGGGCTAAATTTTCAGCTAAATTGTCTAATTTTGGACAGAGGTTGAGCAGGTTGAGCAGTGACTGAACAGGAAAGGGGTTGGTTGTTTTTTTTTACAAATTTTATTAGATGTACATTTTAAAAACAAAAATGGACATGCTTCAACTTTCCTGGCTTCAACAGTGCTATTAGAACAGGAAAGGGGTTTTGGATAAACAAACAATGGATGGCTTTCGTGGTAACCCCGTTATACAAATATCGAACTACACTTGAAGATGCAGAAAATAAAGCAAAGAAAAGGGTGAAACAAAAGAGGATGTGCAAATATTTCTTTGCGCGTCTCGAGCGCGCGGCATAGGTTTCGAGAGAGGCGGTCGGGGCGGCCGATCCGGGCACTCTAACGGGGCCTACGCGAGTCCCCCGCCGCCCGCCCACTCCCGGGGGACGGGGGTTCTCCAGCCCGCTCCCCTTCCAGCCGCCCCGCCTCCTCGCTCACCCGCGGGTGGCGTCGGCGTCTGCTTCTGGATCTCGGCGAAGTGCCGGGCGTCGGCGACGGAGCTGAAGAGGGCGGCGAAGGGGTTCCGGGAAATGCTGTTATTGTTCTCGTGGTCGGTCATTTCCCCGCCGGGCGAGCTCCATGGAGAGCCGCGACCCAGACGACGAGCGAGGGCCCGCAGCCCCGGGCGCTCTGGTACAGGACGGGGGCGAGCAGCAGCGGCAGAAGGAGGAAGGAGAGGCCGCGACACCTTTCAGCGACGAGCTTGGCAACGCGCGACGCCCGCAGGCCGCATCCAGCGTCATCAGAAGGCGCCGGAAGCGCGCCGTGGCGACAGAGCGAGCGACCATAGAGCCGCATCGCGGCTAGAGGGAGCTGCCGGCGCCACCTTCGCTCTACGGAGGCGTCCCGGTCACAGGCCGGGGGAGACGCTTCTCCGCCCCTGCGGCCGGGACAGTGACTGTAGTGCTAGCCGGTAGCGAGAAAGACGCTGCCTCCCGCAATGCCTCTCCGGGCAGCTGCCCGAGGACGGCTCCGAGAGAGTCGCCGAGGCGTGCGGAATATTCTGGGGACACGAGGGATCCCGCCGGCTCCTGTGTTCCCCGAGCGCAGATCCCAGATGTGCTCTCAAATAAAAGGTTTCCCGGCGCCCCGGTCGAGAGGCTCCAGTTTGGAGGTCGGCCGGAGCCCGGGGCGGCTCTTCCAGCTCGAGCTTTACGGTCAGACGATACGGCTGACCTTAGTAACTAACATGTATGGACTTTAGCTCCCAGAATTCCTCGGCCAGTATGGCAGGCTGGGGGACTCTGGGAGTTGAAGTCCACAGATCTTAAACTCGCTGGTCTACATCAGGGGTTTCAAACTTGGCCCTTTTATGACTTCAACTCCCAGAATTCCTCAGCCAGCGTGCATGGCTGAGGAATTCTGGGAGTTAAAGTCCACAAATCATAAAGGGGCCAAGTTTGAAGACCCCTGGTCTAGATCGATAGTTGGAGGCTGACCTGTGGTGCACCAGCAGTAGCTGAGGAGTGGCCCAGCTGGGCCAAACCGCCGGTTTGGGTTGGGTCTAACTGTCCTGCCCATCAGGCTTGGCCAAAAGGGAGGAGTTCCCCCCCCCATGGCTTGTTCGTGGGATGCCTTAGTGGAGAACTGCTGCTGGGGCAGGGGGCTCTATTTGACATTCAATTCTGCAAAGGGAGAAGGAAGTCAGCTTCATTTTTTCAGCAGAGCGGTTTCCCTGTGGCATGTCTTCCGTCCTTTCATTTCCTTATGCATAAATGCGCACACACAGAATGGTAGAACCCCCACCCACAGACTTCCTGTTGCAGACTGCCTGCAAAAATCTTCCCTATATCTTCTTGCCCAGTCTTTTTTTTTTAACTTGGCAGAAGACTGTCACCTGCTGCCTGTGCTGACGAACGGGGAACGACATATCTGGCTCCTCTATCGACAAGCATGGGAGGCCAGGAACAGTTGCTGTGTGCAGCTGTCCTTGCCCTGTTCTTCCAAGGTAGGACTAAATCCAAGGCAGGCAGTTTGAAAGGGTGGTAGCTTGTAGACTCAGGGCTGGGAATGGAGGGGGGAGAGGTAGGCAGGCTGCAAAAAAAGAAAGAGAGGGATGTTCTTGGTGAGGAGGCATGAGGACCAGAGTGCCAGTTCATTACCATGTGTTACACTCAGCTGTGTTTCTGATTCAACGCATCTGCTCACTCCCCCCCCATCTGAAAGCAGCAGACCCACCTCCTCTCCACACCTGACTTGGGGCTTGAGGCAGTCAGGCTGACCAGGTGCAGCCAGCCACTTCCCTCTGTCTCACCAGCCTCATAAATGAGGAATGGGACATTTATGTTGCAAGCTTTTGGAGGAAAGGCTGAATGCAAATGTGAATTCAGCCCATTGAAGAGATAATGATGGAGATGTTGCCTTTGGGTGGCTGCCAGATTCCAGGGCCAAGATATCTGTGAGGGTGTCCCATCTCCCCCGCATATGGTAGGTGAGGAAATATTGTTATGTGCCTGTCCTGAACCTCTAGCATTTTGGGAGAAAAAACTTTTCTCTGTCCATTTTCCTTAGACTTTGCCTTATATTAAAAACCTCAATAATGATTCTCCTTAGCTGGCTCTTTCTGAAATTAGGAAATGTTCCCTTTCTCAAGTCAATGTCACCCTTTCGCCCGAAAGCTGAACAGTCCTCCATTTGCGTTTGCTATTCCCTCTTCATTCCCTTCCTGGGTGCCATTTGGCATGATTAGTCTTTTCACTGCTTCTGCATACCATATATTCCACTGTTTGATGTTACTTGGACAACTGAATAGAAGACTGGTGTGTGGTATTATTGGTGATTCTTGGTCCCCGTTTAATTTGCTCTATATTTCTCAACATGAAATTATTTTCTTTCAGGCATCAGCATAAGTGGAAATGCAGCATCAGGAAATGGTATGATTTATCCAGGTTTCCTAAAAGAAAACTAGGGAAGCAGCTCAGAAGGAGTTCAGATAGGATGGATTTATATGTCTGGGTCTAGCCATAGGTTGTGTGGCCATGCTTTATGGACTATACCATAATTGGCTGGGTTTGCACAATGCATGTAGACTGTGACACACAAGCCCAGTCAGTGACTCTTGGTGTGCTTAAATTTTGGCGCTCTTTTAATTGGGGATGGCTTCTGAATTTTCCAGATCCTGAGTGTTTGGAAAAAGCTTGTTTCAGAAAGAATATTGGAAAGAGATTTTTCTGGCTGGCTAGAAGCTCATTAGGAGTCATTCCTGGATGGGAAGGCAAAGGACTTTAAGCACTTCACGGCTGCCAAGGTAGATTTGGGAGGAAGTCTCAGTAGTTTCACTAGGACTATCTGCTAAGCAAACATGTTACAGGAGGAAGGCAAGTTCCCCGGGACAAGCAAGATGGACAGGCAGTGTGGGAGAGAAGCAGTTGCAAACCCCCCTTCCCATCCCCATTGTGCTGATGCCTACGAGCTGGATAGAGAAAGCAGAAACAGATCTCTTCAGGGCCAAAATGCAAAGAGTGCCCTTTCTCAGCAGCAACTGCTGGCCCAGAATTAGGAATAAGCACAAAGGCTCATTTCCCCTAACCAATGATTAAGCCATGATACTTTTGCCAAAGGAATACCAGTTGCCTGAAGAGCATAAGTGGCCATATGTCTTGCTAAAATACTTGTTAGCTAATTTGTTTGGGCCCTGAACCCCTGGAGGTATGGGTGAAGCTTTGCCTGTGGGACCTCTGCCCCACCTCATCCCATTTGTTTTGCAGAGTTCATCACCATAGAGCAGAAAGGAAAAAATGTCTCCCTGATATGTGAAGGGGGCGATAATAAGACACGCTGGATAAAAGACAAGATGAATCTAACCTACCAAGGGAAGGAGTTGGCTTTGGCTGTGATGGATGACCCCAAAGGCATCTATAAGTGTATCACCCAAAATGGGAAAAGCAGATCCCTGCAAGTTTTCATCCGGAGTGCGTAAGCCTTCTTTCTCACCCTTATTTAACAACATTGTCAGTTGTCCAGTTTCAGCGAGGCAGACACCAGGGTTTTTTGAAACAAGCCTACCCTTTGAAGCTGGAACAGTCCAGGTGAAAGGAACATCTTAGCTCCCTTCTCTATCCAGTCTTGAGCAAAACAAGTAGAATGGGGGCAGCTTGATTGACCAACATATACAAAAGAATCTGGGCAGTTGATCCTCAGCCTAGTAAATTGGCAACTGTTTGCCTCCTTACTTCAAAAGGAGCTTCGTTTGTTTGGTAAGGTCTCAAAGAGTTTGCTCCTTAGCTGATTACATGAAGTTAGTCCTCTTCCTATGGAATCAAGCTTTTCCCTCAAGATGTTGCTTGTTCATTCTTTGATATTAGAAAAAAGTGGTATTTTTTCTTAAGGTAAACTGTCAAATCACCACTTCTGTGACTTACATTCAATGTCCCTGTTTCTGGAAATGAAATGCTCCACTCTGCTCATGTGCAGCATTTCTGGGCCTCTCTTACCAGGCTGCTGTTTCCTAGGACACAGGTAATCTTTCTGCCAAGCCTTGTAAAAGCCTGGGATGGTCCCTGGGATGGGCAGACCAGGGACTGCAGCTGGGTCTCCCTTTCTCTGGAAGAGTCCTCTTTGCCCAATGAACTGGCAGTGGCTTCCCCTGGCTTCAGATGGATGAGGGCTGTGTGCTTGTGGCAGTTCTGCCATAAAAGAACACATGCTCTGCTCAAGTGAGGCCTGCGTGGACTATGCGGGGGAGTGCAGAATGTATTTTCAACATTTTCTTTCACTACAGTGTGCCAAAACTGTATCCATCTGGACTTCACTATGATTCTGGGGATTTCAGCAGCCAGCCTCCTCGCCACAGTCTTTCTGGCTATTGCTGTGTACCACATAGCCGTGGAAGAGCGGGGCCGGCCAACCCAAGGTGAGGAGGTAGCAACAAAGGGCAGCTGGGCAGCTTCCTTGAAAAGGCCATGGTGATCTTCTCCAGAAGGAAGGACCATCTTACAGCTCAGGCATCCCCCACCCCTTGTTTCTTGCCTGCCTCAGAGACCCCCCCCCCCACCTGCTGCTTTCTTAGGCTCTTGGTTTTTTTCCCTGTGGACTCAGTCTTCCTATTTTGACCCTGCAGCTTCTGATAAGCAGTGCCTGTTGGCCAACGACCAGCTGTACCAGGTGAGAGCTTCCACTTCCTTTTGGCTTTTTCTTTGTTCTCCCCCTTCGAGGGGAGCTGAATTGCATCTTCTGTGCACTTCATTGTGTGCAGGGGTTGTTGTCTTCAAAGAGGATATGATGGCGAAGAGTTAAAATGAGAGGAAGAAACAGAATGTAGAATTAGTAAGCCTTGCCATTAACAAAACAGTTGCTGAATGTGACGCAAATGTTTCTGAGCAGTTTTCCTGTGAAATGCATGAGAAATAAATTTCCTCATCAGTATAGTTCAGCTGTTTCTCAAAGAAAATTGTTCCTGGCTATGCCCTTTCTCCAAAGGGGCAACTTTGAGCCCAGGAACAGGAGCAAAAGAGTTCCCTGGTGGTTTTGGGGTAATGCCAGGTCTGGTGTCAGATCAGAGACTGACCAGTTCATCCCACAGAAAGTGGGAGACCTACTAGAAGATTGTGTAGCTATTAAGCCATCTGTATATATTCCAGCACAGTAGAGATGGGACAGAGATGGGTCCAGGTATGAGCATGCCTGTGCCCACTTGTTGAAAGGAACTAGCTGCCGTCATAGTCTCTGATGGGATGGCTTTGACAAAGGGTCTACAAACCTGTCAGTCATCTCCAGAATCCCAGTTCCACGGAGGGTCCCCTGGCAGGGAAGGCTGCCCCAAGGAAAGTGGACTCCGCCAAACCCATCCTCTTCCAGCCCTATTAAGTTGTTTAGTGACATCCTGAACCACAAATTCCAGTCACAGCTTGGCTTTGCCTGCTGGGCAAACTCTGGAATTTACTTGAGGGTCCAGCATTGTGTGATGACAGTGATGTTAAAGAATCTATGGTTAACCATTCTGCCTAAGAGTGAAATGCATTCTAGGGGTGCAGTTGGCCATCCTGGGGCCATGGCACTGATTTCCCTTCCAGAAATCCTGGCACATAACCACATGGCCTCCCTGCCAACAGGGAGAGAGAGCAGCCACGCCAGAGGAAGCAGGCTGTGTGGGGCAGCTGAATGGCCCCTCCGAACTACAAGGGAAGGAGCCATGTGGGAGAGTGGCATAGCAATGTCCTGCCTGCCTGACCAGGCCAAATTTCCCCAGAGCCAATTGCTCGTCCTCACCCACTGCTGGCTCTTGGCCCCCAAGGTGGTAGAAGTGTGGTCTGCCCATACAGGTCCTAAGGGTGGATGTTCTTCCTTCCAGCCTCTCCAGGAGCACAATGACAGGCCTTATAGCCACATTGGCATCGCCAAGCCTCGCCGCCGATGAAGCCGTTCTCCAGCCGCATTCAGGTTCTCCTTCCTGGGCTCAATCCCTGAGGGACGTCCATTACACAGCTCCGTCTGTGCCTGCCTTCTACTCCAGGGCCTCAAGCCTGTGAGAGCCAACAAGGTCTGCTGGAGCTATCGGAGCTGCTGGATTCCATTTTCTGTTTGTTAAACTAAAGAGTGTGGGCTGGGGGGGGGGGAGAGGAGCCTGCTTTAAACTTGTTTGATGAATATGCAATGCTGGGAATGTGGTGGTCAGTTGGAATCAAGAATGTCTTTTCTCAGCAATGCAAATAGGCCAGTTAATCTTCCATTTTCCCCTTTGCAGCTGAAACTGGGTCCCTGCTGTTGCTCCCCTATGCGTTCTGCCTCTCCCCCAATAAAAGATGTTGCTTACAACTTCCTAACATGGTGTATATTTGACTCAAAGAGCTGCAGTGAAGTGAGAGTGCAAATGTCATGGCGTCAGCCATTTGCGCAAGTGTGTAGCTACCACTGGGTGGTGATTCATAGGGCAGCACAGTGTAGCTTTTGCACAGGGTTTGTGGTGGTTTGTGCCTTTCTTGAAATACAGCTGTGTTTGCTTTTGACCACATCCTGTGGAACGAGCGCATCCACTGGGGGTGGCTGTTTCTATGTAGGGCCCAGCTTTCCCTCCCTCACTGCAACTGCCAGATTTTGTGCTGATGGGCCTCTTTCTGCAGCTGAAGCCTCAGTGATACTGTCTCTAACCATCAGCAATGGGTTCATTCAGCTGGTTCTCAAAGCAGGAAGGGAAGGGCAAGTCCTCTGGCTGGGCCAAGCTCTGTGCCAGTCCTAGGGCTATGGTGGTGCCACTTGACTTTTACTTCTCTCCTACCACCCTGGTTTTGTCTACCCTCCTACTGGAGTACTGCTGGTGGGTGGGAAAGCAGAGAAGATCTGGGCTTTAATGTCTGTGGCTACTCATCCCAGCACCTCCTCTTTTCTCTCTGTCCCCTCCTTCTCCAAGGTCTCTCTTCAAGTCTGTTTCCTGGTATCAGAAGAATTACACAGGAGTCTCTGGGGTGAATGGAACAGAGCTTTACTAGGATTCTTTGCGAGCACAATCAAAACAAATGTAAAAGCAGGCCTTCTTTTCATAATGGGATTCCCTGCCAGGGCAAGTGGGCTCAGGGCTCCTGAAGCACAAATCGACCAACCAGACATGCCACCTCAGGAGCTCTAAGGGAGACCTGGCCACAAGTGGTCCCTGGGCACCCCCAGCCAGAGCAGCGCATCCTGCCCAGGGAATGGGACATGATCCACGGAGTTTGCATGCACTCAGAGCAGCAGTGCTGTGGCTGAGTGACCCCACATGAGGGAAGAGGCTTCTATGGTGCCCTTTTCTTGCCCAGGTGAGTCCTGCAGTCTGAGAAGCCCCCTGGGCATCCTGCAGCTCTTTGCTCCATCCGGGGTGGGGCTCTCCAGGCCACCAGATTTTCTAGCTGCAAAACTCAGTGCAAACAGGGAGTACCCCCACCAGGAAGGTCAGCGGTTAGTGCAAGCAGGAGAAGGAAGTGGCAGGCACTTCTGGGGACTCATTGCCACCCGGAACATCTGGCATCTTGCCATGGCAAGCAAGGCAGCATCTCAGAAAGCCTGGGGCTCCAGGCCAGCATACACCTCCCGTTGGCCCTTCCGGATCGGCTGTAGGAACAGAACATGTTTTTGGCAAACCTGGTCTTATTTTCTAGGACACTGGCTGTGTGTGTTAAGATGGGCATCAGCAGAGTGAGGACTTCCCTTGGCTACATGTGATGCAGACTCTTGATTCTGATGCTCTTCTCTCTCAAAAGCTTTTGATTGTTTTCGCCATTGTTTGTGTAATACATGTCAGGAAACTCTGGCTTTAAAGCCATGTTAGGTTCCTTTTTTATTTGGAAGATAACGCAGATGTGTTGCATGTGGCTGGAATGACAGTTTGGTTTGACATTCTGAATCAATTACATTTTCTAAACTGATTAGTAAAAAAATTCACATTGTAGCTCCCAATTTGGCTAAGATTTTAGAAATTAATTCAGAAAGGCAAATTGATTCAGAGATTCACTCAAATCATCTGTGAACTAAATCTCCCAGCTGAATTTTTGCTCTACCCTGCCAGTACCAAAGTAAAGGAAAAGTCACTGTTCCCTTTGTAAAAGCCAAAACTGATGAAACTGACTAAATCACTTCAGAAAATAGACCTTAGCAGAGAAGGGGGAGGGGCTGTGGGCCCTGGCCCCTCTCTGTGTGCCTGTCTCCACAGCTCTGGCCCTTGATCTCCAATACTTGAGATGCTGCCCAATGTGAACTCCCCCCTCCCCCCTTATGTTCAGTTCAGGGCTTACCTCATAATCTGGATTTGGGACAGGCGGGGGGTGGTCCGCTTGCTGTCCTGGAGCAAAAAGCGAAGGGCAAAGTTTATTGCCTCTGCGGTTCTCTGGCTCAGCACTTCACTGCTTGATGGACTGAGCCCCCCCCCCATCGCCTGGCCTTGCCAAATCATCTGTTACATTTGTGGCTGTCAGCCTCCTTAGAGCCCCTCTCCAAGGCAGAAGTGTAGGGGAAGCACCAGAGGACTTAACTGAGGGCAGCCCACCCCTCACCCCCCTCAGGCTCCTTCAAACTGCAAAGCACAATGCTTAAAATCTGGCCTGCACTGGGGAGGGGGGGGAGAAAAGACAGAGGCACTTGCCTCGTAGCCGTCGTGGGGCACCTGCCCTGAAGAGGGCCTGCTGCTTCTTGCTGCAGAAATAGACCAGGAGCAGGACTCCCAAGGTGAACAGGAGGTCAGCCACGATGATGCTGGCCCCGAGGGCAAAGCTCAGCTCCACACAGTCCTTGCACCCTGCAGGAAACCCAGAAGCCTTAACTGAAAAGGGAGCTCAGCCAGCCTGGTTTTGGAGGAAGGTTCTTCTCCACTCTGGCTGCCTGGCACTAGAGGTGTGGGCTGGGACTGGCCACCAGGCAGCTCAGACCGCTAAGCATTCTCCCAGCCCCCCATCAAGGGCAGAGAGGCCCCATCATACTGTAGCCATGACTGACCTTTGATCTTCAGAAAAATCTTCCACGATTTGCCATTCTGACTCTTTTGTCCACAGAAAAGTTCTTTCCCCCTTTCGATCTCAAACAGATGGTCTGAGTCGGAGAAGACCAGGGTGCTGCTGTTTCCTGGACTGGAATTGGCCTCCCACCACTGGGATTTCTCTCCTGGGCAGTTGAGACTCACGTCCCCCAAAGAGATTTCCACCGTGATTACTATGGCAAGTCAGAGAGAATGTGCCTGGCAGCTCTGGGCACAAACACTAGTGGATAATCCAGCAGGATCTCACGGGGACAGCAGTGGGGCTGCTTTTTTGCCTTCTGGGAGACATTATGAGGCAGCGCCCCACAGCTTCATCCCCCCCCCCCAAGGGAACATTTGACAGTTTTAAATTATAACTTAGATTACCTTTCAACACATGTTGCTATTCTTACTCTACAACCATCTCCAAATGCTTTCTTGGATTGTCATTAACCCTAGTTTCTTCAGAGGCAGAGATGTGGAACATAATGGCTATGCCACATGTTCCAACAGCGCCCATTTTCATTCAAAACAGTGACACCCCCTCCCCCCCCACACACATCCCTGGAGGAGCCGGGAGAGAAGCCAGGCCTGATTGGAACCTCCCATTTTCTTAGTTCTGGTGGCAAAGATGCCTCCTCTTTTCAGCCAACAGTCACAAGCCAACCCATGTAAATGCACTGCAGTTTGTTGGGGGCAAAGGTGCCAGGGTCAGTTCCTGATGGTTGCATGGACAAGGGCTTCCTTTTTTACTTGTTTCCAGCAATAACCCAAAGTCCTAAAGGCCCCTCCCTTACCTTCAATCTTTCTCTCCACAAGGCTGGCTGTGAAAAAAAAAAAATGGTGAAGACTTTCTCATTAGCACACAACCGCTATTGTGTCCAGAATAAAGCTGCTCCCTTCAGCACTTTAAAAACCATTTCTTTTATGAAGCCTGAGCAAAGCTAGAGAACAAGGCAGTGGACCAGGTTGCTCTCCCCAGAGCCCCTGAAACAGGGGGGCTGCTCCATCCAATCAGCCCCCAAATCAGAGACTCGTGGCAAATATTCTGAAAAGCTTTCTGGAGGAATCACACAGCTCCTCGTGGTCACTACTGCAGCCATACCCAGAAAAAGGCAGCGGAAAACATGTAAGCGTTGATTTTCTTGCCTTGCGCCCAAAACAGAGCAATCACAAGGCCTCTCATGTTTACATCATGTAATCTTCCAGAAGCTTCCTTTGCAGATCAGATGGATCCTATGCCAAATCCCTGTTTAAAAGAGGATCTGTGGACCTTTTTTTTTTGAAGAGGAGACTCAATTTCCCGATTCAGCTCCATAATGCAGCTAGAGACCATCCTGTGTCTTCTCCCCATCCATACTGGCAACCTCCCCCTCTTCCTCCTCCTCAGTGGGATGTTTGCTTCCCTTCCTGTGATTTGTTCACCAGAGCTCTTTTGAGGAAAGGGACCCCCTTAGCTGGAAAGAGAGAGGCCCTCTTCCCACTCAAGCATTTCAGCCCTGATCCCCTGGCCCTCTCCTCCACAACTCAGCCTAATCTAGCACACAGCAGACCCCCCCATCCCCCCCAGCTACCTTCCTTATATCAGACCCTTGGAATCTGCCCCAAGCACTACCCTGAGATTTCAGATAGTCTGTGAGTTACAACCATTTGTTTAACAACTGTTTGATGTTATGACAAGGCTGGCTGAAAAAAGTGATTTACAACCAGTCCTCAAACTTATGACCCCCCCACACAGCATCCTCACAGTCACATGATCGCCATTTGAAACTTTCCCAGAGAGTTTCAACAAGTCAATGGGGGAAACTGCATTTGCTTAATAATTGCATGATTTGTTTAACAACTGCAGCAGCTGCCTCCCTTCACAAGGTCCCAGGGGACCTTGACCCGCAGGGCCAGAAGCCAGATGGACTGATTGCTGGATCAAGCAGAAGCCCTGATGGGGCCCCAGTCCAGCTCTCTGTGGAGAGGCAGCACTCACCTGTGTGGAACAGGAGGATCATCAAGGCACCCAAATGGAGCCCCAGAGGCATCTTCCTGCCCTCCGCTGCTTCCCCGTGGGTGCTTCGAGGGGTCTCCCCAGCGAACCTGCTGCGTGTCTCCTTTCAGGAGGGCTCCAAGAACAGAGATGAGCAATTGGTAAAGAAAGAAAAAGAAACCCTCTGTGGCCCCAGCCCTGCCAGGAAGTGGTAGCTCCAGCAAAGCAGGAGGAGCGAGCCACCGAGGCTGAGTGAAGGCATGGGTGGAGCCGGGGCCACTCAGCCACACCCCCTACAGGAGATTTCAATTGGGGACTCAATATGTGTTGGAAACGTGATTAAAATACCAACAAAATTGGATTGGTAAGAAAAAGAGTTTATTCTGCAGAAAATAGAAAAGCGGTTTGCAAAGCGCGGTGGATCCTGGTGAGAGACTTCAACAGGAAGTTCTAAACCCAGAGACCACACCAAAATATTCAAACTCACAACATTATATACACTCCTATCGCGACGCCCCCCTCCCCTCCCCTTGGTCCCATTTGAGAGGACTTCCGGGGGGGGGGGGCACAATCTGTCCGATCCGCCTAGCCAGAATACATCATCCCTCCCCCTCAGTTACATTGTTCAGAACTTCTCTCTGCCATCCTTTTGTCTTGTTAAGTGTGTCTTCTAGCCAAGCCTCCTGGAATCTAGTGCCTACCTGCAGGGCTTGGCTAATCCTTCTATTGTTAATCAATTGTGACCGTTTTATTTTT